TATAATCGTAGTTAAATGTCAAGTGGCAAAGCAAATTAATGTTATATATAGAATAATTCATAGGATGGATAGAACTTGAATTCTATCAGTCAAGCTTGCAATGTGGCCATCGTGCTTGGTGACTCGCCATTACGGTGCACTGTGAGTTGTTGGTATTAGATAGTTGGAGGCTATCGGCAGGAAGCCTTGGACCTAGGTTTCGTGCTAGTTTGCGCCCATCAGCAAGGCGTGTCTGCGATCACCCTTCTGAGATTCGAAGCCGCGTCACCCATGATGAGGAGTATCAGTTTTGAAGCTAGACCAGTTTCTGCCATGTATTCACCAAGTTAATTTAAGATGAGCTTTCTTTGTGACCCGTTTATGGCTCTTATCCAGTTTCACAGTCTTCCCAAAAGCCCTCAGTTTAATTACTATGGTTTTCAGTAGGAGGATCAACAACCACTTTCTAGAAAAATGTGGACAATAAAACAAAGAAAGCAAGGCAGATTCAAACCTAACCCTTATCCTTACCCTAACCCAAATATCTATCTTAACCCTAATCCTAACCCTAACAAACTATTAACGCAATATTCAAACAGTACTGAAAAATGTGATACCGGTGAAATTTGCTCCTAAGTTAATCAACAGCGTTCATGTCTGCGTTATAACATTGACAGTCACTAGCCGACGATTAGAATGCGTTCAAAGTCAATATTGAAGCCGATTTTATTAGGTGAAATACTGATAAAAACTGATTTACAGTATGGCAATACGTTATTAGAGGAGTTCATACTATTTCCTAAGTTACTGGTGTTCCTAAGAACACGCGTTTTAGAATTTTGGCCCACTAATGTCGACATAATAGAAGGTAATAATTGAACATCAACAAAAACACATGCCACCAAATACGAAAGTACCGCGTTTTTCATCGGATGTCGGATATCTGATGTGAATTGTGAAATATAGTCCAAGTGACGTAATTCACATGGAGAGTATCTGTATGTGGCAGTCTAAGGGCGAAAATCAAAGGTTTGTGGTCAGCAAACAGTGGACTGATGACCCTCAACAAATCAATGAAAGTGTTTTATGTAAGCATGGATGATAAGGAGTTCGCGAACAAAAGTACTAACATTTCACGTGCATGCAAATTTCAGGAGAAGAAAGCGAGAGGTGTTCATATTTGATTCATGAACTTGTTGCTGCTATATTTTGACTGAACTAGAGTACACGTATCTTCTAGTATTTCTTCGCGTTTATAATTGTGACCTAACGTTGCGATTACTCGACATCCGCAACGTAATTCAAAAGGCACTTGCGAAGGAATACGATAGTGTATTATTGCAGCAATCAAAATTCAAAAATCGAGCGAGTACAAAAAGTATCAATTGTTAACATGCAAGATTTAGAGTAATAAACAAATCAAAGTACAATTACACAATGAAAGTATAGTACTATGATGAGTAATAACATGGGTCACTACAATAGCCCCTCCGTAGAATGCAGGTAAATGAAGTTTACCTGTATTCGGAATGATATTGTAAATTACAAGGACAAAAAGGTGTGAAAACCGAATTGAGGATTTTAAGTTTTCTGAGGTTCGATTATAACTGTATATATTAGGAAATGTTAACAACTTCGAAACGAACCAAAATGTTTAGAAAGTTGTGCAAAATGTAACAATAAATCCAGAAAAATTATTAGAATAATAATGGGGTTGTTATTGTAAGGAGTTACAGAATAGATTTATATCTTACATGCAGTTAATAGTACCGTAATAATGGAAATGAATTAGAATTAGAATTAAATTGTCTGTACAAATCTTTGGGGCCAATGTACTCGTCTGCCTGATCTTGTGATTCTTTCTGTTTTGTTAGACGGAATATCACCAGATTTTGAATCTTGAGATGATGTTGATTTGGGTAAACATTCAGTCACCTCTATTTCCATGAAAGCTGGTTTTACGTGATCGGGTATTCTTTTATGACTTGCAGCTGTTCTGCTATTGGTCGAATGCCTTGATTGTCCACCTGATGTCCCAAAAATTTTATAGTTTTCTCACCGAATTCACATTTACTTGGTTTAATGACAATTCCATATTCGGCTAAACGTTTAAAGAGTGTTTCTAAGTGATGTTGGTGCTCCTCAGGGGATTTACTTGCAACCAGTATATCATCGATATAAGCGTAAGTGAATGGGAGGCCGTGCAATACCTGGTCAATGAATCTCTGAAATGTTTGCGCTGCGTTAGTCAAGCCAAATGGTAGGCGGAAGAACTCAAATAAGCCAAAAGGAGTGGTTACCGCCGTTTTGGGGATGTCCTTGGGCTCGACCGGTATATGGTAGTATGCACGAACGAGGTCAATTTTGGAAAATATCTGGGCACCTGCCATGTTATGGAAAAAATCGTGGATGTGCGGAATTGGGTATCTATCTGCTTTCGTCTGCTCATTTAAAGCTTGGTAATCTCCACATGGTCGTATCTCTGTTGAGTTTTTCTTTGGTACCATATGCAGTGGTGATGACCGTGGGCTGTTTGACAGTCGTATTATTCCTAGATCTAATAATCTGTTGAACTCTGCTTTTGCTATTTGCATTTTAGCTGGATCTAAACGACGTGGTTTTGCTGAGACCGGTGGACCTTTAGTTACAATATGGTGTGTAACGTTGTGTTTGAGAGAGGCTGTGGAGTAATCGCTCTGTCCTGCCAAGTAGTAAAGAAACATAAAGCGACTGAGTGTGAAGTCTCTATTGATGCTTCTGAATAACCTAGAACAGGCTGCATTCCACCTTGTTAGCTGGTAGTATCAACAAGTATTTGTTGTGTGTTAAAAATTCGGTATCGCACAATTTCGAATTAACTAACGTATATTTACACAGTGATTCACTAATGGATTGCAGGGTAGTCAAGCAGAAAAGCTGCTGTCTCCTATGAGAATAATACATTTCTGAAAGTTAAATGCCAACGAAAAGTATTTGTTGATATAGTTAAAAGGCAGGGTTGATGCTAATTACATCGGGCTGACCAACTCTCGAGGAGCAGTTACTAATGTCACTTCAAGGTTGATGCACCTGCAAACTAGTTGATCCCAGCAGCCAGTTGATACCGTAGCCCGGACGACCCTCGCTTGATAGGTACGAATCGGCTGAGATAATGAAGAAGGAAGGTTAAACCTGCCTTCACTATACATATTTAGGCACACAGCATAACTGTCACTGACACTTCCTTATAACTTCAGTCAGAGACGTGAATTAATTCAGAGTGGAAGGTGAGTCGTTTAAAACCCTGATGGCTGTATGAATTTCCTGGATCCTCTACAGGTCTCTGTGTACTAATTGTCGGGTCCAGAGGGCATGTGTGAAGGATGTTTCTATTCTGCTGGTTGATTTTTGTAATCTGCTCCAGTAGGCTTGAATTCAGTGTCAAATTAGAACACAGTTCTACAAAATAAAGGAGTTTGGTTGATAGAATAGAGCTTAAGAGGTGAAAATGAGCAGGTTAGTCTGATTTTTCGGCCTCAGTCTTTATTAGGTATCTACTCATCCACAAAGAAGACTATTAATTTAGGATTGTGGCTGAATTTTATTAACTTTGGAAAGTTTTCGTTTTAGGAACGAATTATTTAAGGCATTACCTACAGCCACACTAAGAAGTGATTGCAAGATGCTGCACTATTTTCTAATTGTGTAGTATCATTTCAATAATCTCTTCTATATGCTGACGACGTAAAGATGTGGAGGGCGATAAAGTGTCCGGAGGACTCAGATAGGCTACAGGAAGATCTAAACCTTCTGGAAGACTGGGCGGTTGCCAGTGGCGTGACTTTCAACCTGAAAAAGTGCAAAGTAGTGAAGTTACGCACCTGTAGACTGCAGAATGCAAGTTACACCCTGTGCAATGAAAGCTTGTACTGCACAATGTTGGAAGGCGACTTAGGTCTAGTTCTAACGGAAAAATTGGACTCAAGCGTAAATTACAAGGGCGATGTAGCGAGGGCATATGTGGTCATACACTTTATACACAGACAGGTGCACTCACTCCTGAGCTCTTTCTAAGGTTGTACAAAACATACGTCAGACCACACCTTGAAGTGCATAATATTATTGTACCCGCACTGCTTAGAAGAGACGCCAACCTTTTGGAAAGAGTCCAACGACGGGCAACAAAAGGAGTGGTTGGTCTCCGAAACAAACCATATGATGAAAGGCTGAAGAAATTAGGCCTATTCACACTTAGCTACCGTCGTCTTAGGGGGGATTTAATTACTACCTACAAAATAACAAATGACCAGAATCACCCAAACAAAGGTGTTCTGCCATTGAGTAGGTATAGGCTTCCTCGTGGAAATCCACCAGAGGGCTCCCACTTCTTTTCACTGCAGGTTTGCCATCCCTGGAATTCCTTATTGGCTGATGTAGCTATGGCACCGTCTGTGGACGCCTTTAAGCGAAGGATGGACAACCATGCAGCGACACAATGACTGCATCCAAATGGCCTATCCCCTTAAAATCGAATACACCATTCAGGGGTAAGCAATTAAACTTGTCGTTTTACTTCTTTACATTCTCTCCCATCTTACACTCCTGACAACTTTAACTACACCTATTATTATCATTATTACCAATATATATATATGTTATTCATATTATTCTTCAAACTTAATCAGCTGACTTTTGTTACGTTTTCTCATTCTTTTTCTGTCTGTCATTCTGAATAACTTCACTAATTATATTTATTATTATCTCTTCTTTTGACGACAATACCGGAGGACTAACTGGTGGAAGGATAAACTCCATTCACAGTAGTAACAGCCTTAACACACCTCATACTACAAACCACATATAATTAATCCCAGCACTACTCCTTTTGGAGTCAACCAAAGCTACGGCAGTCGAGTTGCGAGACGAGCTACTCAGAAGTTTACCGAAGATCAGGAACCTATACCTCACAATCAAGAGGTGAGCACAAAGAAGTCAAATTGGTTTATACTAGCTCGTAAAAAAGATATGGGATATTGGAATTAAGACAATTGACAAGGTCAGTGCTAAATTGCTCAATGGAAATGTATTCACGTGTTGCTAGGTGAGGTGCCAGACTATACGTTTGTGAATTCGAAATCATCATGAATAAGTCGTCTGTCCTCTTAGTATCATCTGTTTTTGCCGTGTCTGCATGCACACTATTTTACCTCTCTAAGCTGTTGAGAAAACCGCATGTTAAGAAAGACTTAGCGAAGACAGCGCCCCATTCCACTATAGGCGATACATATTTGAAGAAAGTTAATGAATTTGACAAAGAAAACTTATCACTTGAGTTTGCTAACTGCATCTGTTCATTGGTTAAAGTCTCTGACTATGATACACGGCAGCAGCTCATCATGTATCTGCATCAAGCTTCATCATTCTGTCAAAATTTCGTAAGTATTGTCTGTTTTTTCCGTATCCTATTAGTTCCAGAGTGTTATTAGGGATTCTAAGTGCTTGGAAACTCTCCTTTCACTACTGGATTCTTCAACAAGTATGGCACCAGCATGTAGGCAAAACTTGAGTATCCTCCAGGTGACAACAAACCTGGCATGTGATCAACGAAGTCTCCCTGTAATAATGGTAAATTGGTATTTTAGCATATATAAATTTTTGCAGGACTACTTAGACGATATTTTCTCCATAGCTGATACAAAAGAATATAGTGATCAAGCATGCGCTGCTCTACAGGTACTGGCTAATATCGCCCTCACTCCAGCTGGATGCAATTTGCTAATTAATGATTGTGGTCGTTTATGCAAAATGCTTGGAATGCGCGATCCCTACCTACTGAGAAACTTGCTGGCAGTTTTAGTGAATTTGTCATGCGATGTCAACGGTTGCGATAAACTACTTGCACAGGTATGTTTATTATATTCATGTGTATAGCTCTAGAATGGGGAAGATTTCGTACGAACTCTGGAGTATTCATTATCGTCAGATGTCCCCTTATTAATATCCATGAAAATGACGACTTTTCTCAACAACTTGTACTCAAGAATTATGAAAGATCAGGACAAGTATTGGAATAAATCGGAGTCTGCAATTATTACAAAGACTATTGCTATCTCACTAAAGGTATGTCAGCCTAAAAGTTTTACGTGTTGACGATGTTTACAAGAAATTAACCTAGCAGAAATCCTACCGAAAACCTTTCTTATGTAGATAAATTTTAAGAATTCAATTATCTAGGAAGTTAAATACCTTAATGAACTGTTACAGGACACGCTTGGTGCACTATCCAGCAGCTTAAGCAATTGCTTTGTCCTATTTGGCAAATGAGAATAGTAGAAACTATGAAAAGAATAGTGTTTGAACTATGGCGTTCTTCTTCTGAATGCTAACCTTGAGTGGTCTCACGGTAATGAGTACTAAGACTAAACATTCCATTAGGTAAATAAAATTAATTAGTGAATTAACCAGAAAATTTACACTGTCACTACCATCTATGGTGACTGGTGCCGACTAAATTAGGATTGATTTAAAAATGCATTAAAAGTAGTTAAACCAGATGTTGCGTACATACTGAAAATTCCATATTTGTACCAAAAGTACTGCTGGAAATAAAGCTATTATCAAATATTATAGTAATTAATGATCATAGTGACTGTTGGTCTGAATCATGTGAGAGATGTAGGTTGCTTGAATAGGGTCGTTAAGTTGATAAAACTCAGTGGGTAAAGATATTCGAGGACGTGAATGAAAGTCGTTCAAAGTAGCTCAGATACTTTAACTTTAAAATATTAAGCATTAATCTTCACTCAGTGGATCTGGTGCTTGTCTTTATGGCTAAATTTACCACCGCATCACACCTCAGATGAAGATAACGTCAAGACGATATTCGTCATGAAACACCTTTAGTGACTTCTTAGAAAACTTCTTATGTGTAGAGTAGAATGGAGTGACTTGGGCAACGCAAAGAGTATAGAAAGTAGACACTTCCTAGGGTCTGTATGTCTGTTTTCAACGTAGAACTTTGCACCGATGTGCAGCAGTTCCAGTCGCCACACTCCATGTAGCACACAAAGCAAGAGAAGAAAGTAGAAGAAATGTATAACAGAGACAGTAAACAGAGGTGTGAGACAAAGGAATAGTAATAACGAAGAACAAAACAGTTTCATTGGAAATCATAAGTCACAAGGAGTGGATGCATCTGCGCCAGCCATTGAGAACGATCACTTTGAGCCATGTCACCAATTGTTTCCAACCATTGGTTTTTACCGTCTGGAGGACCCCAACCAGTCAGGAAGTCTACACCTTCCTACGTGGCTTAGACTAACTGTTGTAGATTTCATTGACTGGTGCCATGTTTTCGTTTGACCGCCGCTAGCTCTTTTCTAGCCTGACCCTATATCAGCTAACATTGCCCGTCGAGGAAGGCGATGACTAGGCATACGTATCACATGTCCTAACCATCCCAGTCGATGTAATTTCACAGTCTCGTCGACTGATTTTCCCTCCTTACCTAACACTCGACACCTCACCCAAATATTGCTCACCTTATTATACCACTTCACGCGGGAGATAGAACGCAGACACCTATGATCAAAGACAACTAATCTTTTCATGTCTTCCACTCTCAATGGCCAGGTCTCACAGCCATAAGGGAGGACGGAGCGGACTGTTGAGCAGTACACACGCCCTTTGGTCGATAGTCAGTTGGATATCACGTCTACGCCAGAGACGGTGTAAACTGGTATATGCGAAACTAGCCCTCTGTATTCGTGCTGAGATTTCGTCAGAGATCAACCCGTTGGGGCTGATGGCACTTCTCAAATAAGTGAAGTGGTCAATGTGCTCTACCAGGGTTCGATGCAAATATTCCTGTTGTTGGATTTACAACAGTGTGGAAGGTGTAGATAGCAAGTCTGAATGTGTTACGTGTCATAATAGTCGTGTTAGATGTATCAATGCAGGTCAGTTTTGTGAAACTTAACTAATAATCAACTGAAAGCGACACAGATAAACGTAGTTTTCGAACATTAGCAAACAGCTAACGAAAATAAAGGCTCTGATAAAAATAACAAATCCAGAGAAGACAGTTCATGTATAACAGTTACAATATCATGGTAATGAATTCAATAAGTGGATATGTTTGATTCATTAGCAGGTGCGGTATCGTGAAATCATGAAATGATTTGTTTAGCATTGAATTTCCTTCCCGTATATAACGTGAGTGTTGAGATACTGCTCAGGCGGCCAGATCGGTATAGGCAATTGTCCTAAGTGTTAATATCCTTCAAACCTTTGACTGGGAATTTGATCTACAGGACAACAGAGCAATATCGGGAGTTTCGTCTCCATTGTTTCTAGTAACCACTTTATGCAATATTAGTTCCTGGAATTCTTATGTACTGTCGGTTTGCCAGCAGAGATTTCTAACTACCTTAGGTGGGATTATCCATGTTTATTAGTCTGATGATAAACAGGTCCTTATATCCTCCTCGTTTTCACTTTTGCTATACTCAGCCTTGTGTGAAGACAATGAATATAACTTTCCCGGGTAGTGGCTATAAACTGACTACTGGAGAGCTCGAGTACCTACGTCATTTAAAATCCGGCTTAGTATTTTTGTTTTATGTTGAAATTCTAAGTACTGCTGACCCAACAACTGAATAAGGCAGGTGTTTGCAGAGTGGTTCCCCTTTTTGTCACAAAAGAATATTTCTTCTTGTGTGTAAATGGTAAGTCACAGTACCTCAGATGCAGCCATGTGGTGTGTATTTTAGTTCAAATGGGATTCGTAATTAGCTGTAAGTTCATGTCCACTATCACCACTCCGTTTTATTTGTGAGCAGCTTTATGAAATACACTTCATGATGGACAACTAAAACGTAGCTTTAGGACAGCTTAAATGGAAGACATGAAAAGACTAATTGTCGTTGATCATACTTATCTGTGTTCTATCAACATCCTGTGTTAGGTGGTATAATAGGGTGAGAAATATTGAGGTTAGGCGTCGAGTGCTAGATAAGGAGGGGAAGTTGCATCGATTGAGATGGTTAGGACGTGTGTTACGCATGCATCCCTAGCCATCGATTGCCCTCCAAGACGGGCGATGTTAGCTGAAATAGGATCAGGTTGTAAAAGAGCTAGTGGTGGTCAAAACAAAACATGGCTTCATTAGTCACTGAAGTCCACAACAGTTCGTTTAAGCCGGCCAGTCACCTAGGGAGGTGTAGATTGCCTGACTGACTGGTTGGGGTCGTCGGGATGGATGGTAAAAACCAATGGTGGTTAGAGACAATTGGTGGCATGGTTGGCTCAAAATCGTTGTCAATGGCTGGTGCAGATGAATCCACTCCTTGTGACTTATAATATCCAATAAAACTCTATTGTTCTTCCATGTAACTATTCTCTTTTCCCGCACTCACACTTCTGTTAATTATCTTTCTTTTGAATTTGTCTTTACTCTCCTCTCTTGTTTTGTATGTTACATGTATGGAGAGTAGGAAATCAAAATTCTGCATATCTGTGTAAAGTTCTATGTTGAAACGTGTCAGTCGGGTAATCAAGTGTCCTTCATATTAACTGAAAACTTGTGGAAATTTTGAGTCCACTAAGTAGTCGTGCACAAACACGAGAAAACCAGGCAGGTTTTAGGCCAGGAAGATCATATCTTCACCCTTAGACAGGTTCTAGAACATAGGCATTCCTACTGGTGTCCAACAATCATTATATTACTTGACCTAAAGACGGCATTCGATTCTGTCGACCGAGAGGTTCTCTGGTGATGCTTGGCTGTGAAGGGAATGCCGAGAAAATACATAGCACTGATTAAGGCACTCTACTCGTACTCATGCAGCCAGGTGAGGGCTTATGGCGAGTTGTCATCTGAAGTGGTGACGACTAGTGGCGTCCGTCAAGGATGCCCATTATCCCCATTCCTATTCAACTTCATCATAGACGTACTAATGGACTTAACCCTAACACACTTCAGCGACTCAGAGATTGACTTGCTACGGGGGAATAATCTTGTCGACTTAGAATATGCGGACGATATAGTTCTTCTAGGCGAGGACGCTGACAAAATGCAGAGTCTACTGAACACCTTGAGCAACAATCTTCGTATGTTTGGCACGCGATTCGCCCCTGTAAAATGTAAGATGATGCTGCAAGATTGGACTTCACCGCTTCACTTACTTGGGAAGTACCATCAGCCCAAACGGGTTGATCTCCGACGAAATCTCAGCACGAATACAGAGGGCTAGTTTCGCATATGCCAGTTTACACCGTCTCTGGCGTAGACGTGATATCCGACTATCGTCCAAAGGGAGTGTGCACTGCTCAACAGTCCGCTCCGTCCTCCTTTATGGCTGTGAGTGAGATCTGGCCATTGAGAGTGGAAGAAATGAAAAGATTAGCTGTCTTCGATTATATGTGTTCTATCTATCTATCTCCCGCGTGAAGTGGTATAATAAGGTGAGCAATATTTGGGTGAGGCGTCGAGTGCTAGGTAAGGAGGGAAAATCAGTCGACGAGACTGTGAAATTACATCGACTGAGATGGTTAGCATATGTATTACACATGCCTAGTCATCGCCTTCCTCGACAGTGGGCAATGTTAGCTGATATAGGATCAGGCTGGAAAAGAGCTAGCGGCGGTCAAACGAAAACATGGTACCAGTCAATGAAATCCACAACAGTTAGTCTAAGCCAGCCACGTAGGAAGGTGTAGACTTCCTGACTGGTTGGGGTCCTCGGGACGGTAAAAACCAATGGTTGGAAACAATCGGTGACATGGCTCATAGTCGTTCTCAATAGCTGGCGCAGATGCATCCACTCCTTGTGACTTATGATTTCCAATGAAACTGTTTTGTTCTTCGTTATTACTATTCTTTTGTCTCACACTTCTGTTTACTGTCTCTGTTATGCATTTCTTCTACTTTCTTCTCTTTCTTTGTGTGCTACATGGAGTGTGGCAACTTGAACTGCTGCACATTTGTGCAAAGTTCTATGTCGAAAACCGACCGACTGAGTAGTCGCCTTTCAACCAGTTTCTTTTTTATTTTTAACCCAACTAAGTAAACTGCATATACTGATGCATTTAATTCTAAATATGTAAATCTAGAAAGCACATATATATCTCAGAATATTTGACTAATAAAACTTACGTTTTTATAATTCAGTAGTGTTGAGAACTTGAAAGTGCAATTGACTAACCTAATAATGCAGTTTGATGAGATTAGAGATTCTATTTATGTATTGATTAGAATCTTTATCAAAGTGCTTAGAGAAGTAAATATTCATACGATCTACAGTATTAATAATGTAAGGAAATGATCATGACTGATGAGAAATGAGAAAAGTGCATCATGTGTTGTTCCGTTATGCGTTGATTGAAGCTAAACATTTTTTTCTTTTTGTATTTGTTAGATTTGAATCGCCACTTTGATTTTTGATTACAGTTCTGTTAAATTATTTTTTGAAATATGAATTATTGTTGTTAGTATTTACTCTGGCACTCTCAGTGGAATAGTACGCCATCTCCGGTTGGTTATTTATTTATTTTGATTATAGCTTGAAATCACACAGTATTTTTGGTACAAGTATGGAATTTTCAGCATGTAATATCGGTAGCCCAAATTTTACAGCTTTCGCTGCTCAACAAACTCGTAGCCTTCTGGAATCAGTCTTCTTGCGTCTATCAGTTTGGATAAAGCTGCAGAAATCCACTGACTTATTAACTTTTGGTTTCAGATTATTAAGAGCTTTTATAGCTGTGTCTACAAGGAACTGTATGTTGTTCCAGGCTTCCTCAGGAGGAGTCTTGCTGTCGACCTCAGATACTCGTTTCAATACTTCTTCCTTAAATAGGGACTCGGTGTACTGATGAAGTTGGGAAGGGGGAGGCTTAACTGCTTCGCTTCCAGCAACTTTTTTTATGTCTGTTTAATCGTAAGCATAAACGTGCGCAAACCAAGGCGTGATCTCAGTCTACGCACAACGCCTGGTCCTCCCAAGTCAGGCATTACCATTCACCCAGATGAGTCGAAAGGTTATTCGCAACTGTCATCATTACGCTATATTCATCATAAAATCAAACATTCTTCTGAATTAGAGAGTTCCACAAGTGGAACTCATACAAATTCTACTTAAGAATTCTGAGACTATATACAAGAAACATATTAGAATAATAAATGAATTTTTGCATCGACATTGATTTGATATGTGTATAGACACACTCCTATGAGAAACTGGGACCGATTTTTGCAGCATATTAGAGATGTATAATTATTCCCTTGGGTTCTGAGTGGAATATAGAACTTCAACAACACATTTCCACGTTGTTCTATTTTGTGCTGTCGTCCTCTTCATCTGGGTCGACGATTGCGCATAATCTCTCATCTCCTCTCCTCCTCGTCCTCGCCACACTATCTCCTCCATGTGTCACCCTTGCACCAACGACCGATTCGTCTCTCCCTATTTGGAATCCACTCGAGCAATGGCCTGGCGATGGCACGATGTCATTCGACGGCCTCTTCATCGTATATCCTGTATAATTCATTTTTATTACATATACGTATCATATAAATGTACTATTTTTATTCACTAAGTGTCACTTTTCATCCGGAAGAGGAGGTTTAATTGTAGTTGATTCGAGGTTATTTGACGATGGTGTCTATTGCTTTACTATATTGCCTAAAAAAGGCTTTATTGATTTGTCTTTCTTTCCTTTTTTCTTTCTGACAGGAGAATCATAATCTCATTCAATCATGGATTCTATGCCTACTACCGTTATCTGAAGATTCCAACGAATTCAATGCTCACTTACAAAAACTTTTGTCTATTTTGACTGATATTAAAACTTCCAATGTGTAGAATTCAGTTCTTTCCTATTCTCTTCTCTTCTCTTCTATTCTTTTCTATTTCTATTGTGTTCTGTTCTGTTTTGTCCCCCATAGTCTTGTAATTTATGCGTGCAAATAAAAGAGGGGGAAAAGAAAGTGTATTATATATACATATTACTTTTACTACAATGACAACAACAATGTTATATTTATTTCTGTACATTCATATTTTCTTTCAAATAAAAGCATTTATTTTATTTTCAAGTATTGGTTTTGTAGAGATGTAGTTTGATTGGGTGGAGAAATTCATCATGAGCTGACATCAGTTAGAGAACCACTGGAAAACCTGGGAGTACTGGACAGCTATTTCGTCCTAGTTTACGACTCTTCATCAGTACGCACCCACCGGCAGGGTTCGAACCCAGGACCTTCTGGTTACAAGACCAGCGCGCTCGTAGACCACTGAACCACTGGGACCCGATTATTATTTCTTCTGTGTGAGTGTGTGTGTGTGACTACTTCTCATTTTTTCTCATTCAATTACTAAACCCAGTTAACATTGCTGTTAAAATTAATTTTGTTTTTAGTATCTATGCTGCCAACGAAGTCATTGTCAACGTTGTTCGCCTCCTTCAACACTCCCGAAGTATCAGAAGTTCGTATTTTTAAATGTCACAATGATGATGATGATGATGATGATGACGAGGAGTATTCGATCATTTCTAAGTGGAATCAAATTGACATTCTACGTAAAGATACTATTACATACACACGAACACATTTAATAAAGGTACCACATAGTAATCATGAAAAATTGCAGGTGAAATATGCCTCACAATTACACTTCTCTTCATTTGGGAAAGGTTATCCTTCTAGTGTACAACAGAATAATGTACACACTGTTTGGGATATACAAACACCAGATGGTTGTCATAGAGCTGTATGCATCCAACCGGTTTCTTCTTCTTCTTCACCACCACCACCACCACGACAAGTAACGTCAAATTCATCAAAGTTTATCACAGCTGATTGTGAAGAAGCAAGTACTGTTGTACAAATATGGATTAATGGACGTCTTTCAAACATTGTAAAACTTCCAACAACTCCTCCTAATGCTCTTCATGGTCGTGTATATCCTACAGAGGGTGGATCATTTCATGGGGCTGCTTGGTCAAAGGCAAGAGATAAAATTGTCTATCTTGCAGAAGAGGTGGCGCCTGGTGATTCTTCAGAGGTAATTTTGTTTCTTTTTTGTTTGCACCTTTTTGTTGTTGATTCTTTTGCATATTGCGGTGTAGCTAAAAGGTCACTTTTTATCACAACAAATAAAACGGGAAGTGTATGTTCCACTGAATGTCATTAAATCTTATATCTGCCATCTGATATCCTAAAAGTGACCTGTAGTGTACACCTCGGTCGGAAGTGATGACGAATGCTCGCCAGCGACGACATTGACTGTGGTGCCAGTCGCGCTAAATATCTCACAAATTGGTGGTAGAAGTTCGGATTCACGAACTGCCCGTTGCATCGTATCCCAGTGGGGCTGAATGTTCTACTAGCTTGCTTGTAGCTTGAAGGTTCGAACCCTAGTTGGTGTGTACTACCGATGAAGCACAAGCTAGTCTGACGAAATAGCTAGCTGTCCAGTACTCCCTGTCGCTGGTTTTCTTTGGTTCTCTATATGATCATAATCAGCGGTCAAACTGAAGACAAATCAAATCCCCTTACAAAGAAACTCTTGAAAAGTGATATGCCAATGTAGGATGTTGCTTTTGTTTCTGTGTTACCGGTTGTAATGTACTTGTGTGTTAGATTTATTTGCTAATTTTATAAATACTTAATTAGACGCAATTTGTCTGAATCGTGTAATGTGTATTTGCGCAACACATTTCGAACAATCTGATCACACACACGGACTTGTCATAGGAATATATAGGAAATTAATAAGGAGTTAAGAGGTGAGAAAATAGAAAAGTTACGTCAAGTTAAAAGGACATATTGAAGGTCAGAATAACAATCAAGACCACTCAACCAACTAGCATATTCGTAAATGGCTCCAGAAACAAACGGAATCTTCAGAACCCATCAATGGTGAGAACAAGAGACCTGGCTCCTCTATTGCGAAACATATTATAGACGCAGGACATAAAATTAACGTTAACAGATCATTTAAACCTATCTGTAAAACGTGTTTGTGGCGTATCCTATAGTATGTGGGAGCTCTGGCTGGCAATTAGAAAGTTTAAACCACCTTTATGCTCCTCAAAGACAATTCGTCATCACACTAAACCTTCCTTGGTAAATTGTGTTTTGATATCAGCCAGGGTAGATGTACTATTACCTTTGCTATTTGGGTTAGTGGATTTCATTGTCATTTTGACCTTCACTATGTCCTTTTAACTTGACTTAACTTGTCTATTTTCTCACCTCTTGACTCTTTATTAATTCCATGTATATTCCTATGACAAGTCCGTGTGTGTGATCAGATTGTTGGAAATGTGTTGAGCAAATGCATTACACGATTCAGACAAATTACGTCTTCTTAAGTATTTTATTATAAATCTATCTGTATGGTGTTTAAAGCTGGCTTGGTTGGCTACAAGTGACACCACTTGTAGCATCAAAGGCCCTTAAGTAATTGGAACTAGTCTGTTATGATGGGGCTGAGTGTGACAAAGAGTATACAAATATATATATATATATATATATATATATATATATATATATATATATATATATATAATAGCTATTGCCTCAGCGTTTCAAACTAGTATTCTCTTTCGTTTGATTAACGGTGGAGCTCCAAAATTAATGAATTCAGACAAAGGTGAGAGGCTGACGAAAGTGAAAACACCAAGGATAGCAAAAGTGAAACAAAGAGATGAATGTATAAAAATAAAATTTGACAAAAATGTGTCGATAGAAATATCATTATTGTTCGAGAGCATTAGAATGAGTGTGCGATTAGATTTACTCGTAGTCTGCTGTTCCATTTCAAGGTGAGATACTACTACCCGGGCGTCCAGAATGAAGCAGGTGACTGTCTTAAGGGACTACCCCCTCCGTGCCTTTGATCTGGAGTCTCATCTGCAAGGCAGCGGAACAGCATCAGAAGCTACGCTTCCCTGGTTACTAATACAGGTTCCTGCGGCATTCGATCCGACTGGATACTAGAACCCATGTACCCCACGTTAACTGCTATTAGTTTAACAGCTATTCAAACAACCTTCGTGGCATGGTAGGACCAGTGTAGCTTGTTGGGTCACTGTGGTATGCAAGCCCAAACACCCCGTCAAGATAGCAGTTATTGGCCGGGTTGATCGATGTAGCTTCACGATGTGATCAAATGAATTGACTTACCTACCTAACACTCTATACCTAATCTGAAAATTACTTACTATGTTAAATCATGTAACATGGTAGATATGACGCAAATGTCTGTGGTCAAATACAGCTAGTCTTTTCATATCTTCCACTATGAATGCCAGTGTCTCATATCAACAAAGAGCGACTGAGCGAACTATTAGACAGTACACACATCCTTTAAGCGATAGCAGGATGTCACGTCTACTCCGAAGTAGACGTAAGTTGACAAGGGCCAGACCAGCGTTTTGTATTTGTATATCTTATCAAATTGTCTTCGTAATTTCTCATTCCTCTTAAGTATTATAATATATTTGAATCAATCATTGGTTGGAGGCAATGGGCAGGAATCCGTGCTTGACCTAATATTCGTGCTAGTTGGCACTTACTAGTCATCCAGGTGTATCTGCAATTTTGAAGGATCTGATGTGCCTTCTGAGATTCGAACCCGCGTCACCCAGTGAGTGCTACAGTCAGAGACGTTACCAGTGATCTATTCAGGCTTACGACTGACATCCTGTGGGAGTGTATTGGTTTCTTTGATTGGACACTAGTTAGTGAGTAGTTGTGAGTGTCTAGTCCTTTGCTTGATGTTCACTAGTTCAACTTGCCACTGTCCCTGCATGTATCCCACAAAGCAAGAGAAGAAAGTTAAGAGAGATACCAAAAAGAGAGATAATAAACAGAAGTGTGAGTGAGAGGAAGAGAATAGTCATATAGAAGAACGATAGAGGACTTTTATGGGATTTTATTAATCGCGGAAAGTGAATGCATCTGCGCCAGCTATTGACAACGATGATTTTGAGCCGACCATATCACTGATTGTCTCTAGCCTTCGTTGGTTCTTACCATCCCGAGGTCAGTCAGGCAATCTACACCTGCCTACGTGACTGGCAGGCTGGCTTGAACTAACTGTTATGGATTTGATTGACTAATGAAGCCATGTTTTCGATTGACCATCACTTGTTTTCCCTCTTTCACCCTGATCCATCCTATGTTAGTCAGCTAAGATTGCCCGTCGAGGAGGGCGATCGATGCCTAGGGATGTATGCATGACATATGCCCTAACCATCTCAATCGATGCAGCTGCTTCACAACCTCGTCGATTGACTTTCCCTACTTACCTAGCAGTCGACCGAATGCCTAACCTCAGTGCTACTCATCCCGTTATGCCACCTAACATGGGCGATAGAACTCAGACAATTGTGATCGAAGGCAGCTAGCGAGGCTTTTCATGTCTTCCAAATACAGTGACCATGTCTCACAGCTAGCGATGAAGGAGGAAGGGGAGAAGTGGTGAGCATTACACACATCTTCAAATCGATAGCTAGCCGGATATCACGTCTACTAAGCCAGAGATGGTGTAAGCTGGCATATGTCAGAAGAATTCTATCAGCCAAGTTTGCAATGTGTCCACTATTTGAGGTGGCCCGAAAATCCTGAATAGCTCAGCGGCAACGTGTCTGACTGCAACACTCACTGGGTAATGCGGATTTGAATATCAGAAGGGACATGAGTTCCTTTAGGGCTTCAGATACTCCTTGCTAACAAGTGAGAGCCAACAAGCACGAGGCCTAGGTCAGGCACGTTTTTCTGCTGCTTGACTCCAACCATCTAACATCAAGAATTCACAGTACATTGTGATGGCTGAGCCACCTAGTGGCATGGTGACCACATTGCAAACTTGACTGCCGTAGGATTCAATCTACACCAAAATACAAAGGACTAGACGCATGATGTTACTAGTTACTATCTAGTATCCATCCAATGTGTTTAATATATTCATATATGTATGATTCGTTTTTGTTTCCTAACATATATATGTATGTATTTTACTTGATTAAGTCTTGTGGAGGTGATTCATCCTTTGCGTTTCAAGAGGA